AATTATTAGCTATAACATTATCTAAGGTTTTCTATCATTCATCAAACTTGCTAAAAGCACATTATGTACTGCTTTTATCATTGAACGTTTTTCTGAAAAATTTAAGTTTTCAAAGGTTATTATTATTGTAAAGGTTATATTAGGTCATAAGGTCATAAGGTCATAAGGTGTCAAATAAGTCTCTACTAGATTACTTCTTTTTATAATTTATTATATAAAAATAAGTCGGGTTTTCCTTCCTGACGAAATAACTCCAGAACGCACAAACCGATTTCGACGATTTTGCATTCGTTGGAAAGGTCTCGGACTTCGTGAGGTTTATAGCAAAGAAAATTGAAGAAAGAATTTAACAGAAAAGCGGAAAACACTTTTTCTTTTTTCACACACAGCGTCATCTCTGATATTTAGCATTTACTACAAACTAATATTTTTTGTTTGACAGCTACTCTGATAATTTCATGTGATAAACCGGCATTGTGTTCACTGTGGAATTGTGCAAAAAAAGTAAAAAAAAAAGTTATTCGTTTCCTAACATTTCAATTGAAAACCATCAAATCAATCACATGTATTGTGCAAATTTTTATTCAATTTCAACAGCAGGCAATTTTTTTCTTTATCTTTCAATCACCAAACGAAATGTTACATAAAATGAAACCATCTGGTGGTGAAACGGAGTTCGCCCGGTTTGCTAGTTGATTTATAACTACTACTACAAATTTATAGTAAGAAGTGCATCTTATTACTAAGTTCTACATACTATTCCATATGAATGCGTTCATTGATTCAATATGATTAAAATTCTAACATTGTGTAACATCTAACATCTAATACATCCAACACTGTTCCATAAATGGCACACAAACGGTGACATGTTCAGCAAAAATTAAAAAAATACATAGCTTGACATGCGTACGGCATTTTTCTAATCATGCATAAGTAATTGCAGTTATTTCTAATAGAATTTAAATTGAGTTATGGTATAATAATTATTTAATTAGTCATTGACAGGTAAAAAATTGTAAGTGGCATCACAAGATAATAAATTGATTACGGGAAAGATCATTTTATATTTGGACTAATAATTAACCCTTATAATTGAGTTTTTATGTTTTTATATTTTATTCCATATTTGAAAAGTGCATGTGTTTTCGTTTTATACATTTCTACATTTATACATTTCTTTAACACGGTAATTGCCATATCAGTCATATGTGTGACACAAAAATTAGCGTTTTTCCAGGAATTTTATAAAGTGTTCTTTTATACATTAAGTTCCCAGATCCATTATTAACTTTAATTTAATTTTTAACATGATCTAATAAAGTTACCATGGCCTATGTGAATTTTTTTCTGATATTATCGTAGCGATTAACATGTTAATGTTCTAATTTGTTATATCTTGACAATAAAAATTACAGTAGTTGAACTCAAATAGATAATGTGATATGATTACTGATTTGTTCATAATTGGTGCAACAATCATAGATTTTTGTTTAATAAAACTTTTACTTGAACAATTATTTTGAAATTTCTTAGATGTTATGGATGTTCTGCATGCTAAATTGCTGTTCCTATATAAATTGGAGTTCTTACTAGTGCTGTAAAACCCTGTTAAGACGTTTTCTCAGTGGCAGAACAAAAAACCTCGTAGTGAGGGAGAAATATCATCACGCACGATAGGAAGAAATTTTTTTCAAGTTCCGGACTGGCGAAAAATTGCGTATTTTGCGGAAAATCGTATTAAGCATGATTGTCTTTACTCGCCTCTTCTGTAGATAATTAAAATTTAAACGTTTCTCCTGGAACACAACATTAAGTAATAAAATAGAAGGAAAACATTTTAACACATTTGCTGCTACGCACGTATATACTGGGTGCGTTTGTCTTCCTTAGTTTAATAAAGGTCAGCACAGGGAAAAGTATAAATGACACAAGGTTAGCAGTGAATGTGTTAAAGCATATTTATTTTTCCCTACATTTCTTCATACAATTCAATGTGATGATCAGTGGATAGTTTTTTGAGAACAAATGTAACATACGATAACAACACGAAATTTGAAGGCAAATTTAGACCTTATATACCTACTGCTCATTCTGAAGTTACCTTGGATATATATATATATATATATATATATATATATATATAAATAAATAAATATTTCTGTAGTGACTATCTATGATCTATAACAAAATGCAAAGCCGCATGCCAACAAAATGATCAAACGCGAGTAGACACTATATAATTTTCATATCTTTGAAATAATTATAGATCTTTATCTTATAATTAATGATTCTTTTTATCCCTTATGGTTTTATAGTCCACTTTCATTTATTGAATATAACATTTATAATACATTATCTACTTATATGAATTGTATAAATTAAACTTAATCAACAATACTTAGCTTTACTACTTTTTTAATCTGAAGTAACTTCTCATATGTGTACTAAGCATGCATGGTAGTAAGTACTCGGTGCATGCTTGGAATATTTAATTGAGTTAAGAGGATTGGACATATCCTGTTTTAAAGACAAGTCTTTCATTCAACTATGGTTTTTTAGACCTTTTGGCGCCTATGAGTCACTTGCTTGCCAATTACGGTGACGGTTTAACCACTCATTCATATGTTGACTTATCAACACATTAGAAGAGTATCTGGTATTGTTTTACTATAATAGATGATTTTATTATGGCTAATGATATAAATTCATTGCGTGAGTTTATTATAAACTAGTAGATGTAATAGTTGTTAGCTCGGTAAAAATCTAATATTTGAATCAACTAATATGTTGATGTCTATATTTAAATGATAACTATGGGATGCAAGAAGACTCTGAAAATATTTTTGTTCAAAACATTAAAAAGTGCTAATTATTTATTAATTATTGCCTTTTTAGTGGGCTGTAAATAATGGTTTCTAACCTTTTCGCACCGCGACTCCCGCTCCCCGTTTTTTTTTTCAAAAAAGACAAGTTAAAGATGCACTCTTCTTAATTTTTCTAAAAATCTAATTTTATAAATACTCAACCGATATTATAATTTATTTATCAGGCTACAAATTAATATAAAATATTTTGTCAAAATATATATGAAAATAATTTTTATTCCATAATTTTTTATAACATTTTAATATTTTTGGTTCATTTTTTGGAAATAGCACTTTGAAAGCAGCAGTACGCCTCCCTTGCAACAACCTCGCGCTTCCTTGAGGGGTGCGTCCCACAGGTTGGAAACCACATGCTGTATGTTGTAATTGACCTTATCAGAACCATTAACTTTTAATTACAAAATTTTATTTAAAGTACTTTAGTAAACAGTTGTTTACTAAATAAGTGTTAAAATCAGTCTTGGTTAGAGTAAATATTATTGGAAGAGTACTACTCATCAATATGCCTGAAAGGCTAAACAGTTTGGTGACTTTTACACAGGCTTTTCTATGTTTTGATTCGAAAAAAAAGTTTTTGCAAGATATACTTGGTTGAGACGACAAATTTACAATATTAATGAGAAATATAGAGATAATGGATATAGTTTATCCATACTTTGAATCATTACAAGTGAGAATATTTGTATTGAGTTAATACTAATGATACCTGTAATATTGGTAATTTCATTACTAAAATCGATTATGTTCAGTATTTTACAAATGCAACAATAATAAATAAATTGAATAAGTTGAAACAAAAAGTTCAAGGGGAAATTTATTTGATGATTAATAAATAACAAATTGTTATATCATATGATGTTGTCTGTAGTAATTCATACATTATTAATAATGAACATAATTTTTAATTGACACATTCTATTTTGAGATAATATCTTTAAAGTCAACAAAGGAAATTTGATATCATTTACAAACTTTCTTTGTTAGCTACCGAAGTACAACTAAGACGGTCAAAATAACTAAACGCTTTGTAATATCAGTATCACAAAATCTGTTTAAACTTTTTTTTAGTAAACGTACTTTAACTATTTATTACTACAATCCTAGGATTTTTGAGGTTTCAAGAAAATAATCTTACATGATTTTGTTCACATATTATTTGTGCAATCAGGAATAAAATGAGCATCAACCGTTCTACTATTTACGGTCTGTCAAGAATCATAATAAGATTGATGGTTATTTAATCGATCATTCGCGGCTCTTTAGTAAATAAAAGCCATCAAATCTGATTTTAGTAAACATCATATTATTTGACATTGAACTCTGAAATTGAGTGCTAAATCGATGATTGTGATGTTCACTTAATATCAAAACCGCGATTCGGCTGGCTGTCCATCAACAAGAAAAATGTAATGAAAATACGTAAAATTAGATTTTTTTCTTTCTTTTTTTCAATACATTAGGCATTAGGCATTAGGCTCATTATCTAGCACCTAATAATAAAGCGAAGGCCTATTGTTTATTTCATTTTCTTGTACAAACGTCGATGATTTACCTATTGTAAAATATTACTATTTATATGTAAAGATTTTTATAAAATATTCTATATTTTAAACTAGAATCTTCATACATAATGAAGACATAGTTAATAAATTGATTTATATATATGGGATCGTTCAAGTATTACGTAAGCATATTTATTACAATTATTTACCCCCCGCTCCCCTTTGTCAGCAAAAGTAAGCAAAAGTTCTTACCAAAAATAAGCAAAATAAGCCAATCAATAACCCCCCCGCCCCCCGATAGTGCTTCCGTAATACTTGAACGGCCCCTATTTTTTGCTTGATATCAATTATTGGAACGCAACCCAATGGTTCATATACTCTAGTTTTAAGATATATTTTTTTTGTTAAGACGAACCAATGTCCGTCTTCTAGGCAAAGCAATCCAATGTTTTATATTGATATTTTACATAAAATGTTACATAGATTTAAATAATATTGTATTATATAGTTTTATTTAATATTATGCTCTTCTTGAGCATTATATCTTTTTTCAATATTATGTTGTTTCTAATATTTTGAATTTAAATTTGCCTTAACAAGTTATATTTAGACCTATACTGGAACGATATTAATAGCAGTCAACCCTTACAAAGAACTGGATCAGTATTCTGCTGTAAGTAATACTATAGTTTTAGTTTTTAATTAATTACTAAGATGATAAAATAGTAAATATTAAATATTATTTGCAACACTTGTAATTGAACTGTAAATCTGTAAAATTTTTATAAATTATAATTTTTTGCATTTCTAATTCAATAATAGTTGCTAATCTATTGCCAAATTTGAAACCGTTTTCACAAAAGCGTTTTCATTTTGTATCACTTGATTCATCAATATATTATAAATGTTATTTTATATCAATATTATATATTACAGGAATATGTAGCTAAATACCGAAATAAGAAAATTGGCGCTCTTGAGCCTCATGTGTTTGCCTTGGCCGAAGCAGCTTATTGTTCTTTGCGCAACCCTGTTCCGGTCGTTAGGCCAGCTGAAACCGCGCCTAATAATTTACCGAATGGACCAGGTCATGGTGAGTAAAACTTCCAAAGAAGGTTGGAACTATAATCAATAGTTTTATTCCTCGTCCTTAATAATAAAAATATATTAATTTAAAATGTATGATATTCTGGATTTTTATTTTAAGAATAATTCGTTAATTATAAAAAATGCTTCAAGAAGTTAGTGTAAACTGAATGCTTACGTCTACTAGTTTATATATAATTGCAGAAAATTAAAAATACATTATCTTACTATTGATACAATGACGAAGTATACGTTTTTATTTCACTTTTGAGGCAAGAATGACTTCCATTCGATTGAAAATGATGAAGCATAAAAATAAAAAAACTATTTAATAATTATACAGAAATTATAAAATGCTTAAGGGAGAAGCTTGTAAATTTTTAGATGCTTTGCTTTATCATCCCATTGCTTTTTATTTTACTTTTTGTTTATAATGAAATAGTTGATGATTTAACGTTTATTTTGATTTCAGAGAAAAACGTGGCGCCAGTCAGTCTGGTTCGTTCAGATCAGAGCTGTGTTATATCCGGCGAATCAGGAGCTGGTAAAACTGAAACTGCAAAATTTATATTGCAATATTTATGCTCCGTTACTAATGGAGTCTCTACTTGGGTGGAACAGCAAATTCTTGAGGCTAACACAATTTTGGAAGCATTTGGTTAGTAAAACATAAAAAATCTTATATTTTTATATAAGTGGTTTAATAAAATTTATGAATGATTATGAATTTATGAAAAGTTTATGAATTTGCCTCTAGCACTTATTTGGAGAAACTTACATCTAAATCTCTCCAAAAATCTTATTCTATGAGTAAAAAGCAATTATTTATGCTTTTTTTTCAGTATCAGTTCGAGAAAAGTTATAATTTTTAAGTTGTCTTAATATTTTTTTATATTTTAGGAAATGCTAAAACTGTTCGAAATGACAACTCATCCCGTTTTGGCAAGTTTATGAGGGTTTGTTTTGATTCAAAATGGACAATTAAAGGATGTGTCGTTCAAGATTATTTATTAGAACAATCAAGAATTACGCAGAGAAGTCCTGGTGAATTAAATTATCACGTTTTCTATCAGCTAGTCAATGGTGCTCAGGTACAAATCATTCATTGATTTTAAAACATATAACAATTTTTTTTTATAATGAAATTGTATTTTTAGTTTGTTATGTTGCGAAAATTAAGAAATCTAATTATTATATGTGGTTTTAGGGAAAAGAGTTATCACAACAATTAGAACTGTTACCAGTAACCTCTTACCGATATCTAAATGAATCCAGTATCAGACCAGGTCCAGGACCAGCCAGTGATAGCAAACGCCTGGATGCCTTACGTTTGGCGTTCAGTGTGTTACAAATTCCAGCTGAAATGTGTGAAGGAATTTTCAAAGTATTAGCAGCAATCTTGTGGTTGGGAAATTTGGATTTTGAGGTTTTTATTTTATTTTAAATTAATATTCATTATAAATTTCAATAAATTAATCATTCCTTATTAATTATTAAAACTTTGCTGATTCAGGACGTTGATGGCGAAAGATGCAGTTTAACTCCTAATGATTTGAAAATAATAAAAACTGTTTCAAATTTGTTGGGGATGAGGGAAGAAGATCTTACCCAAGTTGTACTCAAAAGACAAATTAATGTACGGGGTAATATTACAGAGATCCCGCTCAAAGTACAAGAGGTATTATTTTTGAAATGTATTATTAAGTTAAATATATATTATATTATTTGCATTTTTAACACTACTAATGTTAATAATTTTCATTTATTTCAGGCGAGAGAAAACCGTCATGCAATGGCTAAAGCTTTATATTCTCGGACTTTTGCCTGGTTAATCGGCCATATAAATCATTGCACAGCACCTGGTCCTGATGCCACAAGTTTTCTAGGAGTTTTAGATATATTTGGGTTTGAAAACTTTGCTGTAAACAGTTTTGAGCAATTGTGCATTAATTATACGAATGAAAAACTGCATAAATTCTTTAACCATTATGTATTTGCTCTGGAACAAGAAATGGTTAGTATTGAGAAATTGTCAAAAAAAATTATAATTAAAACTAATGGTTCTATTATTGCAGATATCGGTAGAAAGCATAAAACTGTTGCAAAGTAGAATTGCAAAAAAATATTTACAATTTATTGATTGAATTATTATATTTAGCATAATTTTTGTTTCAGTATCGCCAAGAAGACATTAAATTTTCTCATATTCAATACACTGACAATACTCCTTGTTTGGAGTTGATCGAAAAACCACCAAGGTGTATTTTGAAACTGTTGACTGAACAATGCCATATGCCCAAGGTAAATCATATGCTAATTAGTATTATTAAAATAATTTTGAATTTATTATTATCGATATACTTTTTGAGAAATCTTTCTATGTATATTGTGAATGCGGATATCAGACAAAACACAGATTTTCAATTCTGATTAGATGTAATCTTCAAGTGGAAACTAAATGTACTTTTATACTATTTTTAGGGTTCTGACACCGCTTATTTGACAAACATTCACACTGAGTTTGAAAACCATCCTTGTTACGACAAAGGTAACGACAGGCGCCAATGGGAAACAAAATTTTCCATTCTGCACTATGCAGGAAGAGTTAGTTATACCGTCACTGGTTTCGTGGACAAAAATAGGGATGCTCAACAGGATGTTATGTTTGACCATATGTCAAGAGCTGAAAATAGTTTTGTTAGAGAAATCACAGCATATCAGGTAATGAATATTAACCATGTACTTCAATTTGACTGCACAACACTAAAATCCATAATAAGACTTCCAAAACCGTTTCTGTAAAAATGATTATTATACTTCTATTTTATTATATAATATAAAATAATACTAATTTTAGTACAATTTTATTTATTATCTTTTTATCAGGATCTGTGCGCTTCCAGTGCAAGTTACAATGGTACAGTTGCAAGAGGTACCAGCAAAGGTCGACCAACTGTAGGAGATACTTTTAGGCAACAACTTCAGAGCCTTGTTGATGTTTTGCAGTCCACTAATCCTTGGTATGTTTTAGTTAACACATTGCATTTTTTATAAATCTAGTAATAAGTTTAATTTCAAACCAACCAAATATACAATTACATATATATTATATGATCAAAACCAATTACATGTGTTAAAAAATATTCCAAGAAAATTTAATTATATAAATTTTCAAGCAATTAAGTATTTATTTATTTTATATGATGATGTTTTTGAATTTGTATGGATTTCACACTTTAGAAAACTGATACTTTAAAAAACTGTTTTTTTTCTATCACTATTCAGAGCAGTTTCGTCTTTTACTATTGCTTTTGAATATTACTGAAAACTATATAATTACATTGACAAAAAAAAAAAAACGAATCACATTATAAAAATAAAAAATGAAATAAATAATATATGTATATATTATGGAATGAAAGCATTCTTTTTGTCCATGCTAATTTTCAATACAAGTTAACAACTTATGAAACATTAATAAAGTCAGCAAATTTACAAAGTCCTGAAAATTCTAAAACTAAGATACTTTACATGGATAAATACTAAATAGACTATACAAGTCAAAAAATGTAAATCAAATGCGATTCAATTTGCATAAAAATTAATTTGTGTTGTTTCTGGCATTATTTTAAAGTATTTATCTGACGTTTATTTTAAAAAACAATTTATTTGTTGAATATATTGTTAACATTTCGAAAAATTAAGTACCAACCAAATATTACCTATACAGTAGTAAATATTCTGATTTCGAATATGTTTAACATTTTTACAGGTATGTAAGGTGTATCAAACCAAATCTCAACAAAGCACCAGACGATTATGATAGCTCTCTAGTAATAGACCAACTAAGATATCTAGGAATGTTAGACATAATAAGAATAAGGCGAGAAGGATATCCAGTAAATTTACCTCATGAAGTCTTTGCAAGCCGATACTCCTGCTTACTGCAGAGACGTTTTCCTAAAGGAACTCTACCAAAAGATATTGCTAAGTAAGTATTAAGACTTTGAATTCACAGCTTCAATTCATTAATTACTGTTACTGTACTATTGTAATTGTAACTTACATTTGTGCACTGATCTTGACAAGAAAATAGAAAAAAAAAACTAATGTTAATAAATAAAATTGCACATATAAAATAAAATAAAAGAATATTAATAATTCATGAAATACTAATTGATATTATTTGAATATTATTTAATAACTTTTTAATGTTATTTCACAATTCTTTTATATACATATTAATATATGTATATACATTTTTCCTAAATGTGATAATATGAAACAGATTTTAATTTTTTTAGAAAACTATTTTATTTTATTACTTTAAAACATGAAAATTTAAGCTTTTTAATTTTATTAAGAATAATAAATGATTAATTTTTAGTAGTTTTTGTTAACATACTTTGTTTAAAAGAAGTGTCCTTTGTTTAAAAAAAGTGTCCTTTGTTTAAAAATAAAAAAGTAAAAATTGTGTATATATTATTTTTTTACATTATAGGACAATATTATCAACATTGCATGCACTGCCAAATAAGTGCCCTTCTCCTTCCTGGCAACTTGGAAAAACTAAAACATTCCTACGTGCTCATATAGCTGATCCATTGGAAGAACGACGAAATAATACATTGGATTCACGAGCCCTTATCATTCAGAAAATGTGGAAAGGATATACGGCCAGAAATAGGTAATTATATCAATAGGGAAATGATCTAGACCTAGACTGAAATAATAAGCAGTATAAAAGTTATTCAAATGACTATTTTCATCTGACTATTTTTTCGTCGCATAGTTGAGTCAAAAATATTTTGAGTTATTTTTCTTGATAGTTTATTATTCATATATAACTGTTTATCTAATTTATATTTAAATTTATTTTCTTAGTTTTAATAATTACTAATTTTACTCAGGCGTCAAAAGAGACAGAATATGATTTCAAACCTAAAATTCAATGTTTAATTCAGAATATTTTCATTAATTATTAAGGACATGAACGAATATGAAAAATTATTATTTTCATATTACAGATATAAGAAAATAATAAATGCTGTTCGACTTTTACAACACGCTTACCGCGGTTGGATAGATCGTATAACATTTTTGAGAAAACGAAGAGCAGCTATTGTCATCCAGAAGAGATTACGGGGAGTGTTTGCAAGAGAAGTGAGTATATTTTGAATAAATTTACATAACTGCTTGATTTTATTAAATATAATTTATAGTTAAAAATGAGAAAAAAATCCAGTTGTAAGTAATCTCCTATTTTTGTCATAAAGGTTGCAGCAGCTTTGAGAGAAATGCGAAGAGTTGAGGAAGAAATGAGGAAGCGTGAACGTTTAGAACAAGAAAGACTGGAAGCCATGAAATTGGCAGAACAAGAAAAGGGAGAACTAGAAGCTTTACAACGTAGTGAACGGTATACATTTGTACCTAAATTAATAATTTATTTATTTGTTTAATGTCCGTGACCATAATACAACAGAAATACATCTTATACTGTGCAATCCAATGAGAAAAATCAACATTCCTAAAATTTATATAAATACTTAAAATATAAAACTTAATAAAAACCTCAAATATAGAACAACCAATAAAAACTACAAATCACTTTATAACGTAGTTATTTAAGGATCTTTTTCTTGGCCTTACTTTTACTGGCATATATCTTTCTCAGAAGCAAATTTATTGATTATACTGTTTGTATTTGATAGATTTCAATTTTTAAATTTTAATTATTATTAGCTACTATTTTATCCACAATTGGCATATTATATTTAATATATGTTAACATCTTTTTTCACATACAGGTTGCTTTTGTACATAATGAGAAATATGTTATATGTTTTATTATCTTTATTACAGGGCTGCTGAGGAAGAAATAGCTGCTTTGACCCAAATTGCTGAGAAGCTTACGACTAAAATGGCTGCTAACAATTCTGCAAATAATACAAACAATAATAATAACTCATTGGATAACAGCGTCCCTACATCTGGAAGTCATTCAAAATCTAACAGCACTGGCGAATCAGTAGATTTAGACAACTTATTTGCCTTTTTATCAGACCTGCAGGGTAATAGTGGACCACCTGTGCCTCAAACTAATGGACTCCAAAATGATGCAGCTTTGAAAAGTAGAATGATTGAAGAAATTGCCGAAGAAATGAATGGATTGGTGGAAGATTTGGATGAACAAGTAAGGATATTATTTAAATCTCTATCAGATTTATAGATAAACAACAAATTTTTATGATTATATACTGATTCATAAGTCTTCTTTCTCAGAGAATTGTTGCTCATTGTTATTCCGAATCTTTTATATAGTTCCAAATATGTTATTTAATGTTAACTTCCCTCAAGGTTAAATGCAGTTATTTAAGGTTGTACATTATAAAGTGTTATATAATATTATTATTATTTTGTGGTTTTTGATATGTTTTATTATACTGACTGATATATTTAATTGCAGTTGGAAACTGTGATACAACAAGAAATGGAAGGCTTAGCTAACAATCATATGGGCAGCAACTTACCTCTACCTCCAAAAGGCCTAGGAATACCATCTCTACCTGAACCTACAACCAGACCTCCACCGCCCCCGACCAATAGCAATTCAACTAACAATACTGCCAATACAACCATAACACCTCCAATTATGAATGGAACACCAGATGTTAACCAAATGAATCAATTGAATCAACTGAATCAAATTAATCATAACAATCAAGTGCAAACAAATAGTACTCCTCCTGCGCAACCTATTATCAATACTAATTTGCCGCCCACAATCGTTAAAGAAACTAAAAAAGTGGGTGAACCAATTTATGAAAGTGTGAGACCCCGGGATGAAAGTGCAGTTATACCTGCCCCGATTTTGCAGCAACTGAATGGAATTCCAGAGGAAGATGAAGATAAGTCTGATGTAAAACAAGTTCTGATTCAAACTGCTAATAAATTTAGGTATGTTATTATTATTGATAACTATCGTGTAACGTTTTACAATTAGCATGTAATAATTATTCAAACAATTGATGAATTCAATTATTAACTTAACAGCAAGTTAAAACCATCTACTTTTAATCTCATATGAACGATAGTGTCAAATATTATCTAGAATACTAATTTCAGAAAATTTTATTTATTTAGAGAATAATACCAGAAATATAAAAATGCTTCTCTTTCATTGCAAGCGTTCTTTTGTTTCCTTTTCTAATCATTTCTTATTATTTTTATAGATCTCGAAGCCCAGGTTTGGAAAGGCATATATCGGCCGTATCTGATAGCAATTCAGGATCACCCAAGCACAGCAGACCCGGTTCCAGGGATTCTTCTACAGGCGTAAATAATTTTAAAATACTTTTACATCTCAACAAGCATACAAAGTATTTAAGCAATAATTTTATTTATAGCGTACAGCAGTTGGTGTAGATAAAGAACAGAGACGTAAACATCGTGTCGAGCGAAAATTACAACAAATGCAAGAATCTGAATTGGAACAGAATCTCTTACAACAAAATGATGATACACATTACGATATCGTCGAATTTGCACAGAACTTTTTCAATAATCATGAAAGAACTCCAGAAGGTAAGGAAAAATGTACTTTATTTATTTAAAATCATGCAATGTAATTTCTGAACCTCTAGCAATATAAATTTGTCAGCTTCTAGTGCCATAGATATAAGGTTTTCATTTTATTTCAGGGACAATCATGGCTACTTTGACTCGCAAATCAAATAAAAGCTTGGAGCCAGTGCCAAAATATGAAATGGTTTCTTTCCATCGAGGTGGAACGATACCTTGCGCTCATATTCATATGCATGATCCAGATAATGATAATGTCGCCTGCAGCATATTTAGAGTGAGTAGGGTTTTATTAAGAATTACTTTAAAAAATATATTGGATTATCTATATTAGTTGTCCAAGAGGATGGTAATCATAAATTAAATGAAAACAAAAATCAGTGTCAGCATTCTTTTCTAATAGCAAACAAAATTTGAATCTGTTCGAAAGGTATTAAATGGGTAGCAGGTTGCTCAGAACATTTTCATAATGTTAAGAAAAGCAAAAAGATTTTAATGCATGATGAAATAAAGTTTGAGGAGTCTAGATAACTGGAAAATGATATAAATTTCCTTAAAATGCTACTTACACCTAGTTTATATTTTTTAAGTGTAAGGTTCTAATGTAGTAATTTTCGTAGGATTTATGCAAATACATGCGCGGTGAATTGAGTTCTGAACGCGAATCTGCAGCAATTCAAGCGATAATAGCCCGTGGCCTGGACAGAGAAGAATTGCGAGATGAAATATACGTTCAGTGCGTACGTCAGGTGACTTGCTGCCCCCAACCAGAGTGGGCAGATCGTATCTGGTTGTTACTTTGTCTTGCTGTCGTTGCTTTTCAACCAAGCAAAGCTCTGCACAGGTTAGTAAATGTGATCCTGAATAACCGTTCTCATACTACATTTAGAGAATTCTCGAAAAATTTATCATAAAACTATAAAATTTAAAAAATATATATTTTATGCTTTATTTGTTATGCATATTATATGCATATTATGCAACTGTAGTACATTTTCTGTATGCTCTAAGCACGTTTCCACATATTGTTTATTTTAACAGTTTTATCTATGTTTTATTTATGTTTCCTAAATGTAGTGTATAAATATTATATTATTAAATCGAATCTTAATTTGAACATATTTCATGTCAAATTATTGTGAAATTGATATTTTTATTGTAGATCATTTATAACTTATAGTATTCTGATTTTGTAAATTGGTTTTAGATATTTTGTGAGTTTCTTGAAGAAAACTTAACGCAGTTGGATGGACGACTACATCAGTATGCGCAATGGTGTTTGGACAATTGTAATAACACCAAAGTTTCGTGCAGACAACATCCGCCATCAACAGTTGAAATTGCTGCGATGCGGAGATTAGGGACGATAGTTTGCAGGTTTAGATCATATAATACTTATCACATCAAAGTTTATTATTCATTATTATATTAATTTTATGATATTCGCGATTTTTTCAAATTGATTGTTGCATTAAAATGTTTCATGTTAGAGTGTTATATTTAATTGCAAACACGAAAAACTACGGACAAGAAGTATCAATATTATTTATTCAAGATGTGGTTTTATGCATTTAATTAAACAATTTTTTTCTGATATATTTCTTTGATCTTTTGTTTTAGATTTTTCTTCCTCGATGGGCGGACGAAGGCTATCGATGTTCATCCTACAGATACTGCTGGTGATGCAGCGGCCAAATTGGCAGAAAAATTGGGACTAAAGAATTTGGATGGTTGGGCTATTTATCAATCTAGGCCTGATGGTGAAGAACACGTGCGCGCTCATGATTATTTGTACGATGTTATCGCCGCTTGGGAAATGTGAGTAGAAAAACTACATTATATTTTACCATTTGATTTTACTAAATATATATTTTTATATTTTAATAATGCTATATTGTAACAATATTTTTACCATGAATTGACTGTTTTAGAACAATATTACTCGCATTCCGTATAAAACAATACACGCTTATCAATATAAATTTTTTATGATACATAAGTGTTACATAATTTATTTATTATTTGCAGCAAACAAAGTCGTCAAGGATCAGGTCAAAGCGGTTTCTCAACAGTTGGTCGCAAATCCAATACTGCAAATTCTGGTAGTGGAGAAAATAGATTTGTATTCAAGCGCAGATTGTTCAGAAATACTAGAGAATTTTCTCAAGATCCTGTTGAAGTGAATCTTTTATATGCTCAAGCTGTTTATAGTGTTGTTAAGGTAAACATAATAAATCATGTACTTATATAATACAATTTTTAGAAGAAATACTCTATTAAATATTATAGTTACCAAATACATATAAATAAAATTATATATTTATAATTAAGCAGTAGTAAAACATAATTTGTTAGATATAAAATAAATTCTTCTTTTATTTGTCCATTTCATGAAATAATTTTAAAATTATTTAATAATATGTTTTCAATTTTAGTGTGATGATTTCCCAGTCAGTGAAAAAGTAGCTTTGCAACTCGCTGGCTTACAGGCTCAGGTTGCTTTAGGTGATAATAGTAGGCCAGAATATTATGCTGATGTAGACAGTTACTTGCCTTACAGAGTAAGTCGGACTAGACCTGATGAAGTTTGGGTACCTGTTCTAGCGCAGGGGCATAGGTAAAGTTCGATATTTTATATATATTTTTGATATAAAGTTTTATAAAAATTAATATATTTATATTTAAATTTTTATATGTACTATTATAGGCAATATGGAGCTGGCAGGTCTGAACTCACTGCCAAAGTGTTGTATCTCTCATGCGTGATGCAATATCCACTTTATGGCACAACCATGTATCCAGTTACCTATCGTGGCTACTGGTCTTATGGTATATAATTTATTCATTTTCATCATACAATTGAAGCATCATACAATTTAATAAATATGGCTTTGTTTGTAACTTAAATAAAATATATCAGTTGCTTATTCAATTACTACATTTATTCTACATATTTTTCAGGTAATTCTCTTATTCTTGGAGTGAATTGTGATGGTATAATGCTGATAAAATCAGAAGACAAATTTGTGCTCTACGAATATCGATATCAGGATGTTGAATCTATTTTATTGGATCCTAGCGATAGTTTTATTACAATTGGTTTATCAAGGCATACAGATAGTGTTTCACAAAATCAACAAAGATGTTTTGTATTTGAAACTGCTCAGAAAAATGAGATTGCTTCTTTAATTGTCAGTTATTGCCCTGCTTTGGGAGTCTGGATAACAGATAATGAGGTAAATGGATAAATTTGTCCGTAATTTTGTAAATAATACCTTAATAATTTTGATATTTAATAGTACTTTAAACAACATCATAATTTGTTTTACTTTGTTTAATATTAGAAAAATTAAGAAAATATTTTTATTCACTTAATGGTTTACTCTCACAGAGTTGGATTATTTTCATCAATAAATCATGTCATATATTATAGAATTCATTAATAATATCTATGTTTTTAAGGCGCCTACAAAACGATACAAGAGTGTAACTAATGAAGATCGTGTTAGGCTTTACCAAAGTTTAGTAGCATGTCGAAGACATTTAGTTGATGGTGAAATGCTGAGGAGGCCACAAGACACAAATGGAGGCTTTTTAAGGAATACATTGAGAAGGTAATAATAAGGTCAAATATTTTATTATTAACTTAGTGTCTTAAAGTATTTATGAGATCATAATTGAAATTGTTTGCTTCTGATTTGCACAGATTAAGCAAGCATCGCTTAGACCGTTTGCGCCAAGAACACGGAATGTCTGGACAGAATGGTGGACAAGACAGTGCTGGTGGAGGTGGTGAATGCTATAGAGGCTTTTCTCCTGCATATTGGGCCTTCACCAAACAACCTCTGACACAGACTTTAAGTAAATTGAATGAGCAGGAGGAGCAAGAAATGTTACAAGTTTTCCAATCTGTATTGACATACGCTGGGCTTGGGCAAAATGGTAAGAAAATTATATTAATTTATTTATTCTCATGTAAATAAAGATAAAAAAGGTGGTTTTATTTTACAACATTGGAAATGTTATTACCAATTTTTACTGCTTTGGTTAACATAAGCATTTATTACAAGCGCGTTGAATTATAAACTGAATAAATTGAATTAAATATTATTTACATAAATGTGAGAATTCAATCTTTTGCTGTGGTGTAATATAACAAAATAGGGTTTTATAGACAATTCGACTTTGCAAACCGAGTTTTTGTAATCTATAGTTTATGTTTAACATATGAAAAACGTTTTCATCGCACATAAATAAATTCCTGGACACACAATCACCTGATACTATTTTTTATTTTATACCGGCATAATCTCATATTATCCCTAGATATATCCGTGTTTAAATTTGAGAATATATTTTGTTTTTTTTTAGCTTCCCGAAGGAGAAGTTTATGTTTTCATCAAAAAATCCGATTTGCTAATTTTATGTTTTCTCGACGTTTCAAGCCATTCTGAATCGAATGAGGCCAAATTTGGAAAAAGTATGTATGTGTGTGTGTGTATGTGTATGTGAACAGATTTTTTGCCGTAATGAAGTTTAAAAAAAAAAATTCGACGATTTTTATGATTATTTTTTTGACAGTCGTCTTAATTAAATATTATGGCCCTACGACAACTGATTTAGCTTTAAAAATTTGTCAAAGTTTGCAAAAATTAGTATGGTCTTTTTGGCATTTGTCAAAATTAGAAGTTTCATCGACGTTTGCTCAAAAACGCCTGAACCGATTTCAGATATTTGAAAAGCATTTGATGTATCTCGATGAGGATTATCGTTTCTCAGTTTTGTGCGACGATCGGCCGAGCCATTTCTTTGTAATTTGGAAAAAAGTGTTAAACCTTTCGTCCACATTTAATCTCATACTACCGAACCGATTTTAAAAAATCAAAAACTGTTTGAAAGATATTAGTTGGGAATGATACTGATTAGTTTTAGGTGAAAATCTACCGAGCCGTTTTCTTGTAATTCGTTGTTGAAAAAAAAAAATTTAGCCGATTTTTATGGAACTTTTTTTAGCGATATATATCATGGTCTTATAGAACTTACTGAATTATTACGGCCTTATGACAAGTAGTTTAATTTTAAAAATTCATCAAGTTTGAGAAAATGAGTAGTTTTTTTGACGTTTGTTAAAAATAAAATTAGATGATTTAGTTGGTATAACGTATAATGTCTTACGGAAACTGGTTCAATTATAATTATTGATTAATTAAAACTATTGATTTTTGAAAATTTGCTTTTAGAAAATACTCCGAGTTAACGTGTTCGTTCGTTCGTTCGTTCGTTTGCAATGATGTGTAATAAATCCACTCGGAATACTTATAATCACTCATAAATTAATTTATTTTTTATTGATTAAGTCGATTATTTACACATTTCGGGAAGTTCATGTAACTTGCCTCAAGGCAAATTACCAATACCAACTAGTTAAATTTCGAATATACTCATCAATACACAGTATTCTGTCGCTTTTTCATGACAAGTATACTTGTAAATCATAGTTAACTGTGTTAATTTACATATGTACTAACTATTTGCAATTAATTTAATTAGATTATTTGGTTGACCCCTGATAAGAATATTAATTTTGCTATTTGCGCTGTTTTTTTAATTTTTGTTTTTATTAAATAAATTTATTAATTATTTAGGAATATTTGACCCACATACAGAGCCCGGATAGCTCAGTCGGTAGAGCATTGGACTTTTAATCCAAGGGTCCAGGGTTCAAGTCCCTGTTCGGGCGTATGTTTTTTTTTTACCAACTAAATTAAATAATATTTAATTTAGCTTTTAAATATTTAAATATTAATTATTTGTTTTTCTCGACACTGTTTTTTTTATTGTTGTGTGAAATTTTCTTGAAATAGTATTAATTGAGGTTGCTAATTTTTTAGTAGTGATTTAGTTTTAAACTATCATTATGTTAAGTTCTCAAGACTATTGATAAAATTAAATACTTAATTCTTGATTGTCAACATAATATACAGTGTAGATAATAAAACTGTTGTCAAGTAGTATTTTGTAGAGCAAGTTCCATAATTTTTCCGATATGTGTAAATAGACTGTAAATAGTTTTCAAAAATGCCTATTATTCTCATATGAACGAACTTGTACAATTAAACCACTTTTTGTAGGCCTATAATTCAGCATTTTCGTTTATAATGTGAGCAATATTATTATTTAAAGTATTCTACTATTGAAATCATAAAAATAATTTCAACTATCATTTACCAAAAACTAGTCTTCATCGCCACGGCATCGTACAGCAGACACTGTTATTGAAATATGCGTCCAATTTGACTGCTTTATTCTTACTAACCTCAATATTTCTTCATTTGTTATTTTATCTGTCCATTTTATCTTTGCTTGTCCTCAGTACCACATTTCAAAGCAACTCCAGACAGGTTTTATCGGCTTTTCTCAGAGTCCATGTCTCTGATCCGATTTTGATGTGCCTGTCTTTTTATAGCAATGCCATATGATGAATATTAATTTGTGTATTTTTTTTCACAACGCGACGTATTACGCTTTATTGTCGTTTGCTTATCATTTATAACAGATTTCTATCCTTTACAGTTACTTATTTTGCTTTAACTTTTATTCATATTGCAGGTGATACAGTTTGCAGAGCAGAAGACGAACGCATAACAATAGCTCAATCTATACTTGAAAAGTGTATGCACAAGGACACTATGCTTGGGGAACTTTACTTGCAATTAATAAAACAAACTACAGCCCATCCAGATCGAGATTCCAGGGCCAATTTAAGACACTGGGCCTTGCTGGCGCTTGCTTGTTCTGTAGCGCTGCCACAACAGAAACCATTGAGGAGATACTTGATAGCACATCTCAAGAGGTGCGCCGGAGACCACGTCACGGAAGAAGGAAAGTTTGCACGTTTTGCTGAAAAGGTTGGTTATAAAAATTTAATTTGTAATTATTAGGAACAATTTTTGAAATATACAAAATTGTGAATCGTGTTATGAAATTGTCTATGAAAATCGAGACTTCTTCAGTATATAGACAAAATTTCAAGTATGCTTTTGCGTCGCTAATTCCTAAATCGAAGCAAAAAGTTCAAAAGTTATACTGTATTCATTTGAATTTTTTTGACAAAATAAAAATAGATAGAATATGTATCTATGAAACATGAATGTAGCATTAATAAAAAATAGAGCTATAAAAGAAGTCTACATTCGAAAGCCGGGCAGATTCCTATCAGAAAATAATAAAATATATCTTTTACAATCATTTATATTTTATCAAATACAATACTCCAAATATAAATGCTTTCACGGTTCCGCAAGTCATGATTGAACTATCTCTGAGGAATATATTAGGTACCAAGATCTTCACAAGCTGTCTAATAAGTGGAAATACAAAAGCACCTTTAAAAATCGTGTTAATAAAAACTATTGACTTCTCGAATAGAATACCAAATGTGGTAAAAAAATGTGTATCTATATGGCCTGGTTTTTGACCGTTCATCAACGTTTTATCAAAATCAGTTGAACCGTTTATAAAAATAAATTTAAAAGGTATTCCATGTATCTTGATAAGGACTAGGGTTAATTAATTTTGCGCGACGACCGGTCTTCTTTATAATTAGCAGAAAAGTGTACAATTTTTCTCATTTGTTTTAGCCTAATTTTATGCCTAAAACTATTTGAAAGATATTCGGGAATCGTGCTAATTAGATTTTGGCAAAGATAGATCGGGTCGTTTTTTCGTAATTGATTGTTAAAATTTGAATTGTTAACACAAACTTAATGTTTTTTGAATCATTCTAATCGGATGCCTCCTTCTCTCAAACACCAACATTTTTTGCACATTTAGTTCCATATCTCCGAAACAGCTGGACCTGTTCTGCCAAAAACTCATCACCACTTCTTCCCATCATTACAAATTGTATGTTTTTGAACAATTCAAATCGGATGGTCTGTTCTCTCAAAAGCTTAAATTTTTTTCTGCACTCTTTGCTCTGTATTTCCGAAACGGCTGGATAAGTCTTTGCCAAAAAGTAAGGGCACTTCTCTCCATTACCAGGAATCGAATGTTTTTTGAATTATTCAAATGCGCCCGAAATCGTGGACGAAAAATTGTATCCAAACACACACATTCACACATCCATTTTTTCTACGATATGTCAAAATGTTCAGAAACTTGCGAAACGTCGAGATATGCAAAAAAAAAACAATTTTTGGCGTGTGCAATAAGTTACTCTATGCGAAATTAAAAATATTCCTTACAAATGAACTAGTATCAAATAGAATTCCTCAAAAACACTACCAATCTAGGAGTATCAAGTTGTCCTAAAAACAAAACCGTTCAAAATATCATTTTAGTTTTATTTTAAAAAAATCAAACTAGTGGTGTATGGCATCCTGCCTTAAGAAATATTAAATGTTTTCAAATAGATTATTATAAATACTGCAACTATCATTATTCTTATTTCATATATCTTACATATAAAAATGTAGTCTCGATCAAATGATTCGGTAAAACTCAAAAACGGCTAAACCGATTTGACGAGTCTTAGTCTTGAAAAATTCGTGCCAATCCAGAGATGGTCGGAAAGGTGAGATAATATTTCAAAATCGCGTAGAAACTTTACATTTTTAGTTTGAAATTTTTTATAGAAGCGTAATTTAAATAAAACAATGGACGGCTAATATGTCAAATGTCAAACGTTTTTAACAATTACGTTTAATAGGATGTTTTACGTGAATATTATTTAATTATGATTGAATTGTAGTAAGTAGATTTGTTTGTAGTTTTATTTATATACAAAAACGTTAGAAAACGGGTCGCAAGTGTTACTAGAGACTCAACATATCAACTTTTTGGAATGTTAATATGAAATTGCACTTTTTGCATATTTTTCTCATACACGGTGCTCTGAAAGATCTCATTTGCATAATTATATACTCATTGGTATTTATAAAACATTTTCTAGGTTATATTATTTTTTATTTATGTTATTTAAATTCAAAACCTAAATTTGGTATCGATTAAAGGGACATTTTGTCGAATAACATTTTCCCAGTTATAATTTCCCAGAATTTATCGAATAGTAATATATAACGGTCCGGGGTTAAAAAGGTCCACCACCGATGTGTCAAAAATCAGTAAATTTAAGTATAACAACAATATTTGAAAGTAGAGGAAAAAAGATGTATAACCAGCTATAACCTTGATTTGAAAACGGTAATCTTTGAAATGGGGGTGATAAACGGTAATCTTTGAAAATTCATAATAAAAGTATTTTCTTCCGTTGGTAGTTTTTTAGCATTAGTTAAAAATGTAATTATTTTGTAAAATACGTTTAAAATTATAATAAGGCTTTAAACCCTTTTGTCACCTGCCCGTTTCAATTTACCCCGCCTATAGTGTAAAAAGGTCTAGATAGGTAATGGTTTAGAACGTTTGCCGGGTCAGCTAGTAATATATAAAAGCTTATGAATTGGACGACGACGTCTATTTAATTTTAATCGAATTTAAAATGAAGGACATTCTCTAATATTTATAAGAATTATATAAACTGAATTGCAAAGTTAAAATTAATTATTTGAAGTATATAAGTGATGCTTAGAACTTTAGCTGGAATTAGAATTAAAATTATCAATATTTAAAAAAAATGTTTTATTATATCATTTACCTACAGGCAGTTTCAACGTTCCGTTTCGAAGCGCACGCTGCGAAATACTGCTCGTATTAGGATATAAGAAACCTCTTTGGCCCCGTTCGTCAGCTGAGTGAAGTGTCAATAGATTTTGTGAAATAAGTAATAAGTCCGGAATTGATTCTAAATCTTGCCTTTTTAAAGGCACCGAGCTTAATACTTACAAGGTAATATACACCTTGTTCAGTGTTCTAAATTTTAAAGGTGAACGTGCCTTTGCTGACTCCTCTTTCCAAACACTGGGTCGGTGTTGGTAATGGTTAGAGGATAAGCGCATTTTAGAAAGTGATTTTTCTAAATTTATTTGTTTTAAGTACTTTTGATTTATTTTCTTAAAATCAGTGCCGAGTATATTGAAGAGCCCAAGGATATTCCCAGGCAGAAGCCTGGAAGAAGATCAAAATGAGCATGGAGGTGCAGACCAGCGGTGCCCTCAAAAACAAATTCAATGCACTATCGGACCGATCGGACATGGATACAGACAGGGAGTTGAACGAATATAGAAAAGTGTCACGGAGAAAGAGAGCTAAGAAGAAGGAACCAGAGGGAAATGTTGGACAGCAGCCATCCGAGTCTGGCAATCGAGAATCACCGAACAAGTTAAGCAAAACACCTGAGAAAATACCACCCATCATCATCAAGGCAAACTTAGAATTGAAAACAATAAAGTACATCAGAGACACAACTAAGATCCAATTTAGATATCAGTTTTTCAACACGCAATTACACAAAATTTTTACAGATACAATCCAGGAACACGAGCAAGTTAAAAAGGTATTGAGAGAATGCCATTACCAATTCTACACATACTCGATGAGAAAAGATTTGCCGAAGAAAATTACAATGACTGGACTTCATCCTTCGATACCCGAAGCTGAAGTTTGCGAAGACCTCTTATTGAAAGGAGTTAAAGTCAGACAAGTGATACAGATCAAACGAAAGTTATCGGATGGCAGCCAACATAAGCTGCCCATATACATTGTCTCTCTGGAGAAAGATCAAGACATGTCGGAGCTGAAGCAAATTAGTAACATTGGAGGGCACATCTTCTCTTGGGAGACATACAGGTCACAAAATAGGGCTCTACAGTGTCACAACTGTTTGAATTTTGGACACACATCGTACACCTGCGATATGAAGTACAGGTGTATAAAGTGCCTCGAGATGCACGCGCCAGGTGCGTGCAAGAAACTACTAACCGAGGCACCGATGTGTGTCAATTGTAAGAAAGAACACCCGGCGAACTATTCTCAGTGCTCCGCACTCCTTAATTTCATTGAGAAGAAGGAAAACGATACTCTCAAGAGAAGAAAAGTATATGCGCCAGCTCCAACACCAATGCCACTGACAAGAAGTTTCTCGTCAGCTCTAAATCCGACAAACACCGGCCCTAACTTCAAACCTGATTATCCTCAACTCCCTGTCCCACGGACATCATACCGACCTCCGCTCCAGTCCACACTATCACCGGCCTGGCCTTCACCATCACCAAGACCAGCACCGATCCGGCCAACACCATCAACGGTCGAGTTTACAACCAACCAGCCAGATCCAGATCTCAACACTCCGGAAGGACTCTTTACTGCTATGGGCGAGATCAGGAAGCTATTTGCGGATCCCCAGGTAAAGCAAATTTTCAGTGAGCTATACAAACTGACAAAAACACTAAACACAAACATGACTTATAACGACAAATACACAACAATTTTGAACTTTCTTACATCATCACCATAAACCAATCGCAAGACTTACAAATAATGCATTTCAATTCTAATGGACTTAAAAACAACATTGACGAACTGAGACAGACGATAACAAAATACGATCTGGACATAGTACTGATTAACGAGACACACTTCAAACCTACGGACAGACTCTATATAACAATTACAAAGTTTACAGAAACGACAGACAGACGGACGCACGCGGATGGGGCGGCACTGCGATTTTGATTAAGTCTAACATCAGACACGAGCAAGTGCCAAACCTGACAGCGGGCAGTTCTGAAATAACAGCTATTAATGTATACAAGAGAGGTCAAAAAGTAACCATAATATCGATTTACATCCCGGCAAGCAGACTAGAACATACGGACTTACAAAGACTACTGGACTCGAACAGATTTGTACTTATGGCAGGAGACTTTAACGCACAACACACATCTTGGAACTGTAACTTCAACAACGCGAACGGAAACAGACTTTACGAATACCTGACCGAACACAACAC